AAATATATTTTGGACTTAATAATTTATTAAAATATTTAGATATATATTTTAATACAATAGATCTAATGAGTTTAGATCATTATATTATTAAAATATATAGTTCAGTAACTTTAGAGAATGGATCTATAATTCGAGCAACAGATAATTTTTATGAAAAAGCTTGGTATAGTAATGTAGCAGTTGCTATGAATTCTGAAGAACTATTTGAATATTTATCAGATCAAGAAATTTGTTATAAACAGGTATTTTTTAATATATTTTAAATTTTGGAATTTTTTAAAAAACTAACTTAAATTTTTAATATTTAATTTTGAGATTTTATTAATATCATTTTAACTGATTTGTTAAAACAACATTCTATCATTATAGTATATAATCATTAATATGCATGTAATTGCTAAGTTTATTTTGACATATGTGAAATACTATTTAATAATGTAATAAATATGCAAAAGATAAAATAAATAAAAAAGTGATCGAACAATGATCGATCTTCTTTTTCTTGTACACATTTCCTAAAAAATACTGATTATTGTTCGTAAAAACCTGCTTATCGTTTGTTCTATGAAACAATTGAAAGAAACATTACAGTTACAAGTAAATGAAGAATAAGTTAATGCCGTATAATATTTTACAAAAAATGGATCAATCTGATATTAACGGTGACAATTTAAATGAGATAAATAACAATGATGAGGTCAATGATAATTTAAATGAGATAAATAGTTGTGATGAGGTTGATGATAATTTAAATGAGATAAATAACTATGATGAGGTTGATGATAATTTAAATAAGATAAATAGCTGTGATGAGATTGATGAAGATGTTCAAGGAAATATTTCATCTCATGCTAAAATAACAAAAAGAAGGCTACTTGAAATGCTTATGATTTCTAAAGCTGCTTTTGAGCAAGCATCAAAATTATATACTGGAATAAAATTTGATCATTGGAATCATGCAAATTTGGTACTATTAGCATATGGACAATGGAATGGCTTTGTATGGTGAATTCAAGACAAAAAATTAGATAAGCATAGTAGAATATATAAATATGTCTTTGAGTGCTGACATGCTGAAAATTTTAAATCCAAAAAAAACAGCCATTGAAGCTTCATAACAACATAACAGAAAATCAGTTAAAACTGGTTGCACTTGTTTTGTTAATATGTGTTGGCCATTTAAATTATCAAATCCAACTATTACCAAAATAAATCTTGAGCATCATGGCCATATACTTGATCTTAAAACTATTCATTTTGCTAATTTTATCAACAGCTTCCTCAGAATATAATGAACAAGATCAAGTTTTATGTAAATACAATTCATAATATTAATCAATATATTTTAAGACAGCTTCTTAGTGGTGAATTCAAAAAACAGTTATTTTTAGACAAGGATTTGGCAAATGCAATACAACAATTTCGAAGAAACAATTTGGTAGATTCTGAGCAAGATCCAGAAAATGATGCTTCAAATCTCTTTAAAAAACTACAAAAAATGAAAGAAAATGATCCTACTTGGTTTATAAACTATCATTGTATTAAAAATCGTCTTTTTTATTTATTCTGAATGATATCTAATTAACAAACCATATATTTAAAGTATCATGATGTTATTTTAACAGACAATACAGTATGAACAAACAAATATCATATGGCATTATGTTTATTTGTAGATGTTGATCAACATCATCATTCTAGATTGATAGCTCAAGCACTAATGTCAGATGAAACAACTTTATCATATATATGGGTTCTCAAGAATTTTTTAATAGCTACAAATAATTTATTACCAATAACGATATACTCTGATTGTGATACTGGATTAGAGCTAGCAATTGAATATACTCTTCCGAATACATAATATTTACACTGTATATTTCATATAGTTCAAATATCAAAAAGCATTTATTATGTTCACTTGGTTCGCAGTTTTCTGATTTTTGAAATAATTTTTTTATCTGTCATAATACCTTATTTGAGGAGATTTTTGAATCATAGTTCAATTCATTATGTACAAAATTTCCAGAAGCCTCCTCTTATTTGAGAAATACATTGTATCCAATTAAAGAAAAATAGGCCAAGTGTTATACTTTTTAGGTATTTTAATTTAACTATAGATATTTTAGAGTTAATTCGTTGTTATTATCATATCATATAAAAATTTTTTTAGGAGTTTAATGCCAGAATGTCATCTACTCAACGAGTAGAGTCTATTAATGCCATAATACATAAATATATTAACTTAAATTCAACATTAATGGAATATTTTAATAGGATACAAAGTATGCTGTCTTCTGAACTTCAAAAGGCTGAATATCAGGACTATTTAGAGAATTTGCCTTTTACAATTGGGTCTTCATCAGCAGTTTATGTTTTTTCTAAAATAATTAAGCTTTTAAAATCTGTTTTAACAGATGAGCTATTTCAAATTCAAAAAGCTCAAATTGACATATACTTTGAATATTATTCAAGATTAATTTTTTCAAACCAATACAGTATTTGTGATGAAGTAAGTTAGAATTCATTTTGATATAAAGTAATTATCATAGCTATTTAATACTAATATTTAAATTTCAAAGATTAATAGTTCTAAGACTTTTAATTGTCTTGAAGACTTTATAGACAAATACCAAATTGCACTTAACTCTCTTATTAATCATATTAGTCTTACTAATATTCAAGAAATTTGGGAGGTTAAGCATCTAGTGGCTAAAACAACATCACTTAACTATGTTACATTAATTAAAGACAATTTGCATATTTGTACATGCTTACTTTTAGTTAGTGATAGACTAGTTTGCTATTACTTTTTTCAAGTAATGCTACAAACTATAACAGCAAAATTTAGCATTGCATTAATTAAAAGTCAATGGTACAAAGTAAATATTAATACTGTTAAAGATAAAATTAATACTATATATGATTCATTTGGAGTAGATATTAATGCTTCTAATTCAGAAGCTGAAAGTTTGACTTTAGCTTCTATATGCAATATTCAGGAGGATCATTCAATTCAAGATTCCGAGATTGAAAATTCTATTGTAAAAAAACAAATTTATAGTGAATGCACAGCTTTAGAGCATAAGCTAACATCATTAGCAGCTGAATTTAATTTAATGCATATTGCTGCTACATTACAAGGCAAAATTCAGCAAGTAGAACAAGCCAATTCTAACTTAGCAAGTAATCAAGATCAGAAGATAATTTATAATCCTTTATCAGCTAATTCAAGAGAAAGACAATGTAAACATATAAAGGCATCTGTAGACAATATTCCAAAGAGTTCCAAAAACAAAACTGTAAGTACTAATATGCATTCTACAAATAGATATACATGTCATAACTGTCTTGAAGAAGGCCATAATGCTAGAAGCTGCAATGCACTATGTAAAATTTGTAAAGAGGCTGGTCATATATATTTATATTTCAAAAAGGAAGATTTAGCTTCTTGTTAGATTTAATGTTATGTATAATTAATTGTTAGATTTATTGCTATTGCTATATACAATTAATTTTTAATAATTGCTATTGTATAACTAACTATTGAATATCATTACTATGCTTTATTTTATTAGTTTTTTTTTTGCTTACTAACCATTAAATATTGTTATTATGCTTTATTAGTTTTTTTTTGCTTACAAAGATACTAATAAATTTAACTTTTAAGATACTAATGAATTTAACTTTAAAGATAATAACATAGCAAATACAGTTTAGATGGCATGCAAAAATAAAGTTCATTTAAACTCTTAAAATTTTAGTTTGAAATAAAGTTTTAAAAATAGTTTTATTAAACTGTTTCAACATTAATTTTATAGTGCAAAAAGAACTAAAAACAAAATTACTAATTAGAAACTTAAGTTTGAAATCCCCATAGTTTTGAACTAGTTCTAAACTCAAAAATAATAATAAAGCTAAACCAACTCTAATTTATTATATTTA